TTTTTGAGACGGAGTTTCACTTTTGCTGCCCAGGCTGAAGTGCCGTGGCGGATCTTGGCTCACTGCAAGCTCCGCCTCCCAGGTTCGAGCAATTCTCCTGCCTCAGCCTCCTGAGTAGCTGGGATTACAGACACCTGCCACCACGCCCAGCTATTTTGTGTATTTTTAGTAGAGACAGTGTTTCACTATGTTGGCCAGACTGGTCTCGAACTCCTGACCTCAAGTGATCCACCCGCCTCAGCCTCCCAAAGTGCTGGGATTACAGGTGTGAGCCACCGCACCTGGCCTACACTGGCTAATCTTTTATTATTTGTAAAGACAAGGTCTCGCTATGTTGCCCAGGCTGGTCTTGAACTCCTGAGCTTAACCAGTCCTCCTGTCTCGGCCTCCCAAAGTGCTGGGATTACAGGTGTAAATATATCTGGCCTGGGACTGCATTTCAAAAGTAAAATAAAGAATGTATGTATGCCAGCAATTAACAACTGGAAAATGTAATTATAAAACATCATGGGCCAGGCGTGGTGGCTCACGCCTGTAATCCCAGCACTTTGGGAAGCCAAGGCAGATGGATCACCTGAGGTCAATAGTTCCAGACCAGCCTGACTAACATGGTGAAACCCCATCTCTATTAAAAATACAAAAATTAGCTGAACGTGGTGGCAGGTGCCTGTAATCCCAGTTACTCTGGAGGCTGAGGCAGGAGAATCACTTGAACCTGGGAGGCAGAGGTTGCAGTGAGCCGAGATCACACCATAGCACTCCAGCCTGGGCAAAAGAGCAAGACTCCATCTCAAAAAAAAAAAAGAAAGAAAGAAATCATGGAGCACGGGAATAAAAACTGCAAGATACCTAGGAATGAATCCAACACATGCTCCTTCTTCACAGATCAAAGCGTAAACTCTCATTGAAGACTATCAAAGACCCATGCAGTGTTGACAGCACCATAGCCGTGGATGAAAAGACTCATCATCGTGAGACTGGCAGTTCTCAAATTAATCTGTGCATTTATTCATACACTTCTGATTCTATTCCCAGGAGAGATTTTTCTAAAATGCAGACCAGCCGAGGCAATACTGAAGAGGCGCGGACGGCATTAAGAAGCTGCAATTGCAGGGCAGCCAGGCCAAGAGGCACCAGGGCCCTCAGCGCAGCAGTGAGCCCAGAAGGGCCGCAAGTGGCAGGGTACCTCTGCACACTGCGGGAGGAGCCATGTTGCTAAATGGTGTTGGGACAGCTGGTGCCCTATGGAAAAACATGCGGTGACACCCCTATCTCACACTATGCACACAACACATCAGCGAGAGACCTAACCCTTTCAGAGAAGAATCAAGAGGAAATCTTCATAACCGTGAGGAACAAAAAGACAGCTTGAACAGGAGACCGAGGGTAAAGACGTCGATAGGTTTGACTCTACAAACTTCTTCATGACCACAAGAAAAACGTCATGGTTGTAATGTAAGTGGCAGAAGAAGAAAGGATATTTGCAGTATCTACGAGTTACAGAATATATATAAAAATATGTGCGACTGATGTGAAAAAAACGGCAAACACCACACGTCGATAAGGATTTGGGGACACTGGCTTGTGTGTGTCCTGCCAGGAGTGTAGCTGGTCACCCATTTGGGAAATGAAATGGCCTTCCCTGGGGAGATCGGAGTCATGCAAGACGCATGACTGGCAGTTCCGCTTCTAGGTGCTTCCTTCTCCACCTGCAAGGACACGTGAAGTTGTTGACTATGACATGGTTCACAAAGCCAGGGGCAGCTCCAGTGACAGGGTTAGTTGTACAGTGGAAGGTAACACAAGATTAAATGAGTTAACCAGAGCTGCGTGTCTTGAGCCAGATAAATCCTCAAAGCCTAACAGTAAAGAAGCAAGTCGCCAGAAGGGAGGCCCTGTTTTGACATTGAAGAGGCTTTTTGAAATGTGGAAGGCGTGGTACGTTGTCGATGGGCGCATAAGCAGGAGAACCTCAGCGGCCCCTGGGAGGGGCCCTCAGCCCACGGGACGGCTCTCCCGGGCACGGGCAGGGGCAGAGGCAGACGATGCGTTTACTGTGTCTAAAATTATGCTTCTCTAAGAAAAAAAAAAAAAAAAAAAGAGCAAACAATGGTAAAAAGTTAGCAAAGTCAGAGCTGAGTGGTGGGTCAAGGATTACGGTGGTGTTCCTTTCTGTATTTAAAATAGTTACCATTACACTTCTAGAACTGAATCTGGTTTTAAATAGAGGCCGTCACGTGAGGTGGGGTTGCTCTGCTCTGTCTAATCCCTGCACAAAGGGCAGCCCTTGCCCCGTTCTCTCCGTCCATCCCTTGCTGACGCCGGCCGTCGGGAGTCAGCCCCTGGCTGTCTGGAGTCTGCCAGCCCATGGCCCATGCTGAGCTCCTGTTGGTCTCAGAAGAACTGGCCTCCTCCAGCTTTCACAGGGCCAAATGGAGGACCCTCATCTTCAAGCCTTGACAGCCTTCCTAAAGTCACCGCGACCTGCCAGTTCTGCCCAGGTGTCCAGACGGCGGGCATCGTAGACGTTCTTAGAAGGCGCTGCTCCCTCTAGCAGATGCCTGGGTCATAGGCGAGTCAGGGGAAGGCTCGGAGTTCCAGCTCAGAATTGTCGCCCCAGCCTGGACGTGGGGCACACCAGGGGCCCCAGCAGGAGCTCATGTGAGGCATATGGACCCACCAGATGGGCTCAGTGGTGGCAGGGGTTCCTTGGAGCCCCTGGCCAAGTGGCCGCCCAGAGCAGGCCCCAAAGCCTGCCCAAGGCGAGGGCCCATGGGGTGACGCCGCGTCCCACTGTGTCTCTCCAGGAGCCGGGATGGTGGTGGACTGGGAGCAGGAGACCGGCCTCCTCATGAGCTCGGGGGACGTGCGGATCGTCCGGATCTGGGACACAGACCGTGAGATGAAGGTGCAGGTAACCATGCGGGTGTCCCCCAAGCCCCAGGCCTGTGGGGCAGTGTGTGCAGGGCTGGTCCTCATCACAGAGCCCAGCACAGTGTGCAGTGAGGCCTGGCCATCCCAGGGGCAGAGGCAGGGCCTGGAAGGACAGTGCCGGGACGATGCCGGGAGGAGACATGGGCTGCCTGAGGCCTGTGGATGCAGGTGAACCGCAGCGTTCAGCCCCGCGCTAGTGTGGCTCAGCCTGTGCCAGCTGTGAGTGTTTTCAAGTAGGGTCTTCTCTCTGCAAGTTAAGGAATGTCAGAAATCAGTAGGGTGAGCCATTGTAAATTAGAATGATTATTTGTAGGGTTTTTGTTTGTTTTTGTTTTTTTGAGATGGGGTCTCACTCTGTCACCCTGCGTCACCCAGGCTGGAGTGCAGTGGTGCAGTCACAGCTCACTGCAGCCTCAACCTCCTGGTCCACGTGATCCTCCCATCTCACCCCCACAAGTAGCTGGAACTACAGGCATGCGCCCCCACGCCTGGCTAATTGTTTAAACTTTTTGTAGAGACGGGGGTCTCAGTATTTGCCCAGGCTGGTCTCGAATTCCTGGCTCCGGCAATCTTCCTGCCTGGGCCTCCCAAAGCACTGGGATTACAGGTGTGAGCCACTAGAGAAGGCTTTTTGCTTCTTTTTTTGAGACAGAGTCTCACTCTGTCGCCCAGGCTGGAGTGCAGTGGTGTGATCTCAGCTCACTGCAAGCTCCGCCTCCCGGGTTCATGCCATTCTCCTGCCTCAGCCTCCCAAGTAGCTGGGACTACAGGCGCCCGCCAACACGCCCGGCTAATTTTTTTTGTATTTTTAGTAGAGATGGGGTTTCACATGTTAGCCAGGATGGTTTCGATCTCCTAACCTCGTGATCCACCCACCTCAGCCTCCCAGAGTGCTGGGATTACAGGCGTGAGCCACTGCGCCTGGCCAGAAGCCTCTTTGCCTCTTAAAGCATCTGTTATTTTCAGTTTTGACAAAAAGCGGAGTACATTGGTTTTGCCCCAAACAGCCTGGAAAAGTGGTAGAGACCTCAGGAGGCCGCGCTCAGCAGAAATCTACCTGCATTGACTTCGTTTGGAGCAGAGGCGAGACCACAGATACTGTGAGGGACAGTGCCTGAGGTGGCTTTAGAGCCAGGATTCCCTTCCCCCGGCTCCCCAGGGAGAGGTGCGGAGCAGAGGCCGTCCCCAGCCTCTCTCCCAGGCCGTCTGGTGTCAGGAGGGATGGCTCAGCCCTGCCGTAGAGGGTGGTGTGGTGCAGGCCCAGCAGAGGGGAGGCCTGGGCACCCTCAGCTGCTCAAAGCCGCTGTGGTTGCTCTGGGCAGCAGCAGCCTGAGAACCTGGCCCAGGCCTCTCCCTGTGGGCGGCGTCTCCTCTGACCTGACCATGGATCCCACAAGGCACCAGCAGCTTTCATGGCACCTTCTTTGGGGTGGAGGGGTCTTGGGCCTGCCTGGAACTGTGGCTCCACACGAGACGTGGCCCTCAGGGCACAGCGTGGATACCCTGATCCCCAGGGTCTGGTCACCAGTTGGGGCCTAGAGGCCCGGGTGGCCTGCGGGGCAGGTGCTGTTCCTGCAGAGGTGCGTGGAGGCACAGAGCGCAGCAGGTGTTCCCAGAGCCACCTCTGCCCCTCGCAGGGGTCCGGCCCCATCGTCCCCACGCCTGGGTTTCCTCCTGGAGTACACAACCCAGCACCGTCCTTCATGCGTGGAAAGCGCTCTCCCTCTCGTGGCCCTCTTCCTCCTGCGTCCCTGGCAGGTGCCATCGCCCCCCACCCCCACTTCTCCAGCACTTATAGCCCCCGAGGGAGCCAGGCGACCCCTCCTGGACTCATCCCGTAGCTCATTAGAAGTTCTGAGAAGTAGCCAGTGAGGAGTCCTTGCCAAAATGTGCTTTGCTTTCCTTTTCAGGAAGCAGAGAGAGGTTGGAAGTTTAATTGGCACTGACAGCCAGTCCTTCCCAGAGGCGTTTGCAGGCCGCCGCTCGGGGTGAGGCTGGGCTCTGCCTCACTGGCTCGGGGCCCAGGCACCCAGGGCCTCAGGGCCGTCCCTCCAAGGCCAACGGACCAGGGTGTGACTCAGTGCCCTGCCAGCCCCTGCCTCTCCCTGGGCTCCTGGGCTCCCCGGGCCTTTGATGCTTCCCTGGATAGGGAGAAAGGCCCCTGCAGCCAGGCAGGGGGATCCCCACAGCCAGGGAGGCAGCAAGACGGGTCCTGGTGCTGCAGGACAGCAGGGAGGGAGCTCAGTGCCCAGGTCTTCACCGGGCTGCCTGTGTTTGGCCCTAGGACATCCCCACGGGCGCAGACAGCTGCGTGACGAGTCTGTCCTGTGATTCCCACCGCTCACTCATCGTGGCTGGCCTCGGTGATGGCTCCATCCGCGTCTACGACAGAAGGATGGCACTCAGCGAATGGTACCTTGGCCCTGTCCTCTCCCTCCCCCAGTGGTGGCAGGGCGCCTTCCAGGTGGTAGAGGCCGTGTCACTGCCAGTTGGTTGGGTCCAGGTTTCTCAGTGAGATGCAAAGCTTCCCCAGGAGCCCACAATGGAGTATTTAGGCCAGTCCTGCTGGGCTCCCCAAAACCGCCAGGCGCGTCCCACCAAGGCCTATCCCACGGAGGCCCGTCCCACAGAGGGCTCCCCCACAGAGGCCCGTCCCACAGCCTGTGGAGGAGCACGGGGTACCGGCCGTGTGGGATGAGCCAGTGGACTGGAGACAGAGGCTATCGGGGTGAGGCGGGAGCCCCAGCCAGACACCTGCCACCTCTGAGCTCACCTGAACAGAATACCGCCACTGCCTGCCACCTCCTGGGTCACGCAGCAAGTGTCCAGGGAGGGATGTCTGAGGGCACACGCATGGGCACAGCAGCCCCGCACTGCCTCCGCCGAGCACCCTGTGGGCAGGCGCTGCCCGGGCATAGCGGGGAACAGTCTGTCTTGGCCCACACGGCTGACGCCGCAGAAGTAAATTTCACCCGGCACAGAGCGAGGATTCCCAGAAGGTCCTTGTGCCCCCAGCTTCATCAGCTTTAGGTCTGGGATGCTCATTCCTAACCCTCCAGTCTGCACAGATCGGGGAGGCACAGTGAGGAGTTTTGAGGGAAGCAAAGCAAAGGGTGGGCAGGGCCTGGGAGCGCTGCGATGGCCGCCTGGCCCCCATCTCTGGGCAGCTCCCATGTGGCTCAGACAGTCCTCCAGCGGCCTGACGGTGACCTAGGGCCCAGCCCTGAGCCGGCCTGGGGAGGACACGGGGTCTCTGCTGGAGCAGGTCACCTGGAGGGGGCTCTGACCCTGCGTGGGCACTAGCTCCTCCTGGGCAGCAGACGGGCGAGGGCCTGCGGACCCGCTGGCACAGGCAGACGTGGGCAGTCCCTGGTGCGGACCCGCTGGCACAGGCAGACGTGGGCAGTCCCTGGTGCGAACCCGCTGGCACAGGCAGACCTGGGCAGTCCTGATGCAGACCCGCTGGCACAGGCAGACGTGGGCAGTCCCTGGTGCGGACCCGCTGGCACAGGCAGACCTGGGCAGCCCCTGGTGCGGACCCGCTGGCACAGGCAGACCTGGGCAGCCCCCGGTGAGAGCCCCGAAGGGTGGGGACGTCCTTCGGGGAAGCCCACGCTGAGCGCGCCCTCCCCTGCAGCCGCGTCATGACGTACCGGGAGCACACAGCCTGGGTGGTGAAGGCCTCCCTGCAGAAGCGCCCCGACGGCCACATCGTGAGCGTGAGGTGAGGAGCGCCGATAGTTAGCAGCCGTTCTGCTGTAAAAACATTATTTTCCCCTCCTTTTAAAATATGTCCTTGGTATTTAAACAGCTGAAAGGGGATGGCATTTCGGGCAGTAATTAACTCCTGCCCTGGAACTGGCCAGAAAGGTCAGGCACAGCCCCCAGGGGCCCGGGCGCGGCTGCTCCCCCTGCTGGGGGACACCTGACCTGCAGGCGCTGTGGGAACTCCTGGGCTGCCGCACGGAGGGTCCGGGGGGAGCTGGGCAGCGGCTCTCCCTCCACAGCAGGGGTGGCCGAGCGGCAGGGGCGGCGCATCCGCCAAGCATGTGGCAGTTGTCTGCACGTAAATTCAGTTCTGCTGCTTGGTGAATACAGCACCAAGAGCAGGGAATATTTATTTGCCTATTAAAGGGAGAGCAGAATGTAATTTATGAACACAAAGCCAGCATTTCTTCAAAGAGATGCTCTTTCCCCCCTTGTTTGTGATATAAAAACCAGACATAACTCTTGGGATGGACGCCTGCTAGGGTGGAAGGCAGGAGCCACGGGGCCTCAAAAGGTCCAGGCCATCCCTCAGGCCGCAGCCCGCCATCTAGGCTCTGTCTCCCAGGACTGCAGGCCCCTGTTGCATGAAATCTAATCTCTGGCTGGAAATGAAACCAGTAGCTCACAGCCTCCTCCTGCGTCTGTGCTCGTGGCCGTTTCTCTAGGCCGGAAAACTCAGGGCCTTTTCTGGCTCTGAGGGAGCTCGAGGGGCAGCCTTGACCCTGAGACCGGTGCGGGGGCGTGTCTGGGCCCGGCCTGGGCAGCCCTCACAGGGGCGCTGAGCATCCAGGCAGCCTTTTCCTTGAGCAGTGTGTGTGCAAACAGGCGTGCGACCCCCACACCCAGTTCCGCCGTCCCCCGGTCAGGCCCCTCCTGGGGGCTCCGGGTGGAGGTGTCACCGTGACCCTCTCTTGGCAGCGTCAACGGAGACGTGCGCATCTTTGATCCCCGGATGCCCGAGTCGGTGAATGTGCTTCAGATCGTGAAGGGGCTGACAGCCCTGGACATCCACCCCCAGGCGGACCTGATTGCATGGTAGGCTCCGCCTCCCTGGCCTCCGCGCTCCCTGCCTGCGGCCTCTGTGCAAACACGAGGCTCTTGTGTGCCTGCCCCACAGGAGCTGAAGGAGGGCAGGGGAGGATTTCACTGCTGTTGGGACATAAAAACAAAAGATCTCTGCCAGGCCCGAGTCCTCAGTGAGAGTGACCAGAGGGTCACACCTGCCCCGAGCTGGCCTGTCCCTGCAGTCTCGGCCTGTGCACCTGTCTTTCTTCCATCCTCAGAGGAGAGGGCAGTGACACTGGGACCCTTTCTCTCCCCACAGTGGCTCCGTCAATCAGTTCACCGCCATCTACAACGGGGGCGGCGAGCTGATCAACAACATCAAGTACTACGACGGCTTCATGGGCCAGCGGGTCGGCGCCATCAGCTGCCTGGCCTTCCACCCACACTGGGTCAGTGCAGCGGCGGGTGGGGG